CCACAAGCCATTGAGCTAGATAGCATCCACTTATGTAATAGGGAAGAATAATTCCCTCAACTAGGCAAAATGCTACAGCCTGTGCATGCAGGAGGTCAGATTAAATGATCATTGATGTGACTATCCCTCATATTCCTAATGCAGAGTCCCTATAATTTCCTTTGGACCCCTGTCTGGTGCTGGCTACAGTTAAACAAGGTACTGGGCTACACGGACCCTGGTGGGGGCTTCAAACCCATGACATCAGTTCTACTCACCGAAGAGATGAAGTTGGAGGCGGTTGTTGTCAGTGTGGCGGTCGCTGAGGAAGAAGAGTAGTGGAGGGCTTTTGCAAAGAAGGTCCACATGACAGCATTGCATGCAAACACCAGACTGACACATCCTGCTCGGAGCACCATGTGTAACTGAAGAAAAGGGTGGGAGGGGACTCAGATTTTTTTTTTCCCACTGGCAGTTGACTCTCCCAACTATTTTGCAAACACTTTGTGCAAAATAAAAAATGCCCCAAGTGTGAAATGGCCTGGACCTGAATTACAAACATATCTTGTGAAATCTCAACTCGTGTATTTCTACATTTACCAATCCAAGAAAATACTGAGCACCCTCCACTCCTATTAGCTTCAAAAGCATTTGATGGCTTGTGCCCATGAAAGCTCAGGATACCATCTACATTTTTTGTTAGTCTTTAATGTGCTGCTAGACTATTTATTGTTTTTTCAGTAGGAAATGTTGTGCTTCTGAGCAGACTTGGGACTTAAGAAAGGGTCAATTTCTTTGGTCTAGATTTCTGAGTGAAATCTCCTACTCTCCAACTGCATCCAAGCGCCAGATGTTCTTTATCACATAGACAGACTCTAGATCTTGGGGTAGGGTGGAGGGAATTGGAAACTGCTTAACGAGGAAAATTCTCTAAGAAAGGGATACACCCTTGCTGGAACATTATTTGAAATGCATTATCTTATCTGGGACTTGCCACTTTTGTGGCTGTCAATCAGGACTTTTCATGGCCACTAGAACAACTTCCTGCTCTTTTGTTTAATTAAAAAAGAAAAGGGAAAGGAGATGCACATAATTGCGTGTCTCAAGCTAATCAAATACATCAAAGAATATACTAAACTCACACACTAAATTGCAGAAGACAACCGAGGTAGAAGGAAGCAACTGGAAAGTTGATGCAACAATCACAGGTGGAGAATGACTCTGAGAGGTTCTGCAATAAAACCCAGCCCCTCTGGCTGCCTCAGACTACAAATCATAGCTGCTGGAACTAGGGGAGCACTGCAACACCCTCAGGCACAAAGTGGTCTCCATAATATACCAGCTTTCCAATTTGGTTCAACAGCTCTCAGCACCCCCACTGTAAAAATTGTTCTAGATACTACAAATTGGAAGTTGCATGGAAAATATACACAAATGGTCCTATGCTGCTAAGGAAAACAAAGCAATCTAGAAAGCCCACTAATTCACACTTCAATACATCTAAACCACTTATTTCCTGCCACACAAGATGGGCCAAATTCAGTCCCAGCATAAAAGAATGCATCACACCCAGGAGTTGTGCTTGTTTAAGGCAAAGCTGACTTTAATCCAGTGTGTCCAAAACACAATGGCTACATCTACACTGGCGCGTTCTGACACAAAAACTCTTGTGCGAAAGAGTTCTTCTGCAAAAACTCTTCTAGAAGAGAGCATCTACACTGGCATGTGCTTTTGTGCAAGAGATGTGCTTTCGCGCAAGATCATCCATGCCAGTGAAGACGCTCTCTTGCGCAAGAAAGCTCCGATGGCCATTTTAACCATAGGGCTTTCTTGCGTAAGAAATTCATGTTGCCTGTCTACACTGGCCTTTTCTGGAAGAGCTCTTGCGCAAGAGGGCTTATTCCTGAGCGGGAGAGTTCTGGCACACGAAGCCCTGATTTTATACATTAGAACATCGGTTTACTTGCGCAAGAACACGTGGCCAGTGTAGACAGGCACCAAGTTTTTGCACAAGAGCGGCCGCTTTTGCACGAGATCGCGCCAGTGTAGACACAACCAATATGAAAATCAGATAGAAACCAATTCAGGATCGAACTACTGCTCCTTACAACTCGCCTGCTAGTTCTTCTGACACAGTGTTTACAGGGAGATGTTAGAGTTTTCGCAAATCATGTGTCTGCTGAGAGGCATTTGAGAGAACTAGAGTCTATTGTAAATGGTTCTGCACACCCAGGCTATGTCTAGACTGCAGGCTTCTTTCAGAAGAAGCTTTTCCAGAAGAGATCTTCCAAAAAAAACTTTTTTCAAAAGAGAGCATCCACACAGCAAAAGTGCAACGAAAAAGCGATCTGATTTTCAAAAGATAGTCTCCAATCAATGCGGATGCTATCTCGCATTTCAGTTGTGATTACTGTGGATGGTGTGGCCACCAGGGCACCTGTGTTTTTTCCTGGAGGCCTCTTCTTTCAAAAAAAACACTCTCTTCCGTGTCCACAGACACCTTTTTCCAAAAACGTTTTTTTGGAAAAAGGCTTCTTCCTTGTAGAAAGAGGTTTACCGTTGTCAGAAAAACTCCATTCTTTTGACTTTGTCGAAAAAATAATATCAGTGTCAACGTAAGTGTAGTTTTTCCAGAAAAATGGCCGTTCTTCTGGAAACACTCATGCAGAGTAGACCTGCTGCAGAGAGAGCTCTGCCTCACAAGGCAAACATCCAAGTGCAATCTGGCTATTGCTGAATTCAAGCTCCTTCCAACACTAGCAAGTTTCTTGACAAAATGATCCTGTGTGGGTGTAATTAGGAATTGAACACTGGGTCTGACCCTGGTACGGGTTCAGAGCGGCCAGGCCTGTATGCATGCCTCAAGTTGGAAAAAGGCTGCAGTTTTGTTTTGTTTAAGAATCTTCTACTATTTGCAAACCTCCTAGTTCCCCCACTAATATACCTGTGTTTTCATACCCTAATCTGCTGTATGTTATGATAAAGATAAGGAGAAGTGAGGGAGGAAACTGAAGTGGCAAAAAAGCTCTGCAAACACCCCATGAGTGCACAAAGCCAGGAAAAAAAAAAAGTTTTTTTTCTATGCACTAGAATAATGGCCAAGCTTTCACAGCTTCTATAGATATCAGTGTATGAGCCTTTGAACAAACACACCTGGAAGGTGTTGCCTTCTCCATGGGGATTAACTGCTCTTTGCCTCACCCTGGGGTGTTTTAAATAGCGAAGCCCAACAAGGCGGCCTTTGTTCTTGGGACAGACAAACTCTTACTGCCAGCCTGAGGTGGCAACTGAATTCACATGCTACAAGGTGGTCAAACTTAAAGACATGGGCCCACCTAGCAAATTCACAGACTGGCATAATTCTAAAAGCTTTTCTTATTAGGGCCCTGATTTGACTTTACAGCAGGTCTTGCAGCATGCAGCTTGGTGGGGAATGCAACAGCACATTTGTCATGGTTTGCCTTCCTAAACTGCCAGGCATGGTCCCACCCACACTCTGCCCCCCCAAAATGCCTGCTGTAGGTGTTCTGGGGGTGGAGTGTTGCTGCCCCCAGTGCCCTGCTTCAGGGAAGCTAGAGTAGCTCACTGGCCTTCCTGGTGCTCTGAGGCTGGGGCACCTGAGCTCCCCTCCTCCCTTCTTCCTCTCCCCATGGTGGTGGTGGGGGAGGCATGTGTGCTCAGTGTGCTGCCCCCCCTTTTCCCATGGGGCCGGGGCCTCAGCAGAGGGGTGGGCTAGGAGCCTAGCTGCACCGATTGCCCATGTAATCCAGCTATGTAACCAGGTAGCTGGAGTTGCATATCTCAATTCGACCTTCCCCAGTAGTCTAGAGCTAGCCTCACACTTAAATTCTGGCCAGTTTCGTTTTCACAAGGCAGGAGGACTAGAACTGCTAGGGCAGCAATACAGGCCACGGTGCACCGTGAAGGGTCCCGCTAGATCCTTCCTTCCTCTCTCCGAGCATGGCTCACAGCTCCCTCCAACACCCGGCCTGCCCTTAGAACTGAAAACCCCTCCAGGGAGGGAACGGGTGTTGAGAAAGCTGGTGCCACCCTACGGAGTGCAAGTACTCCCAGAGGGAGGGCTGCCCAGCCAAGAGCTTGAGCCAGGTTCTTGGGCTCACATCCCGAGGCCGGTGGTCGGTGCAGGGCACTGCCTGATCGGAACTTGGCCGGAGCGCTCCCAAGGAAGCAGGAAGGGCGCGGCTGTGCCTGCGGGGCTGGCTGTGCAGGGCCGCGGCGTAGCTGCGTGTGCCAGCCGGGAGCGCACTGGGGCTGGGGGCCGAGCGGGGGCACGGCCAGCGCGGCTCTTCCAGCTCACACTGGGGCTGGGTCCCC